AGTCAATTAGCATGATGATTGAATTGATGGTGGACTGGTTGTTCTCATGCTGAGGAGGGCGGTTTGTTTGGGATTTGTCGTTTTCTTTCCTAGTGAGGATTTCCTGAGTGGCGTGAGGGACATCATTAGGTGAATGCGAAGGTGAAACCGTGTGGATATCGCCGTCACCTGGATCGTCATCCATCAGACCTGAGAAACTGTTTGATAAAGGAACTGAGGCATCTTCTGGATATTGAGATTGTTCCGAGGGGGGATCTGTTTCCATTGTGGTTAGGGATTGGCCATTGTGATCAGACAGATCAGAACGCCCTGCTGGGCCATTGATTGTATTACTGCCGGTGCTATTTTCTGAAGAGTTGTTGGATTGCAGAATGCACTTAATTTGCTTGATTTCTGATTTAATAAAGTGTATGTCCGATTTGAGTTTAGAATTTTCCGATTTCATTTTGGCGTTTTCTGCTTTAAGGAATTCATTTTCAGTTTCCAGGTCCTGCATCCTAGAATGAAGGGTCTGAGAATCTACTTTGGTTGAGTTTCCCATTTGAGTGATTTTGTCTTCTAGTGCGAATACCTGTTCCTCGATGTGATGATCTTTTGCGTTTCTATAAAGTTCTGCCACATCCGCTTCGATTTTGCTAATTAATTCTTTCAGAGTTGCGATGCTGTTGCTTTGTCTGGGGGTTAGTAGGGAGTCAAGCGAATTCCTTCTCATCTGGGGCCGAGGTGTTGCGCAACTGGCCATGTCCTGTCTTCACCGATATCTGATTTTGTTTTCAGATCAGTTGGGACAGCATGGTCGAACTGTTCGGTGCATGTGCCAGGTTGGTCGGCTTTCCTCTTCTTCACAGATTTTGTTTTGTTTGCAGGTAGGCACAAGACCGCCGTATCCAGGTTCTTGAAAAGGAGTTAGGTATCTTCAAACTTGAATAAACGCTCCTGCGGAGCTTGGTCAACCGATGTGCCTGTGAAATCCTTTAGTAGAGGGAATTCATGTTCTGCCCACAGTTTGTAAGCAGTTTCGTGGAACATAATAACTCCAGTCGTACGATATGCGTGAATTGTGATTAGGGTAGATAGAGTTTCATCATCACGAGAGGTAGACTGGCTTAGGTCACCGCTCGAGTGTGGATGATCTTCAGCGATACTCAAAATCTTGATTTCGATGTCTTGAAAGGTGGTTGTACCAGAAGATTCTTCATGGTCAATCCATATAACTTTGAAGTGTGTGCTGTCCTTGAGTGTTTCATAATATCTTTGTTGGAAAGAGTAGATCCAGTAATGAATTCGATCTGGTGATGTCAGGAATGAGGCGCAATGTGCTGAGGGCTTGTAAATATCCAAGTCAATAGATTCAAACTTCAGAAGTTTCCTTTTTCCTGATTTCTCCTTAAAATCACTAATAACATACTTTGCTTTGATCTCCTCCATTCTGAAGGTATAAACCCACAGAAAGAATGAGTTAGCGTTGAAAACAAAAAACAATTACGGAGAGACACACAAGGCACGTCCGTCGCGCGCCATGCTGTCCATCATCATACAATGCCTTTGCTGTGATTGTGTTTATTGAATTGGGAGGGGCAGGTGCCATAGGAAATGCACTTGCGTTTTTCCAGATACTAAATATAGAAGACAACTCACGCGTGAACAAGTCAAGGATCATTTGATTTAAGAACATGAATAGTTTCTTGTACATTGTGGTGTTCTGTCAACATTTCGTGAGAAACTGAAGGGCCGAAAAAAGTACCGTTAAGGTGACTTAAGTATGGATAAATCGATGTAGTTGTAACTTTTGAGTGTGTTAATGCTATCTTATAATTCTTTTAATTACGATCATCCATTAAATAATCTCCTCTCCAGGTATAAGGTCTCATCAGAGCAACTTAGAAATACATCCATTGTAACACCTAATGTAAATACTGAACGTTTTAAAATAACTTTCTTAACAGATTAGTTCTTAAGTATAGCCTACCTGTATTGATATTAGATTTTAGAATTTTTAACTTAATTTCCTTTAGAATTTTTATTTATTAATTTATTTTTCTTCACTTGGATACAACAGTATTTTGCGCTTGAATCTTAACTTTTCAATGTAATATCTGATGTATTTTTATCCGATGAATAACCATAAATTGTTTTAAATTCTAATAAATTATTACTATTTTTATTATTATTATCATACTCAGCCTCAACCAGTATTTGCTTATTATGGTCTGCATGGAAACAATTTGGGCATGAAGAATACTCCTGCTAACAAAATTGCTACTGAAGAGTTGTCAAATTAACCGTCGCCAGCTGTCCTGAATTTGAGCACGAATTGTACGAAAAAATTCATTAAGCATTGTTGAGACAAACCAACAAAGTTTTTTTTCGAAAAATAGACTGCAGAACAGTCGGTTTTTTTTCTCAAAATGAGTAAAGAAATCGGTAAAGCGTGGCGTAAGAGTCTTAGGCGCGCGAAGCGCGCGAGCCTCACACGCCTGTAAGGCGTGTGAGGCTAGAGAAAAAAAACCGACTGTCCGTTTTCCATACAATGAGTTCGTTTCGACCAGGGGGTTCAAAAATGTCGTCGAGATGTCAAAAATCTGTTTATAACTCCAGCCTCTTTGTGAATTTGATACACTCGGTGATTGATTTCGAGGGAGAATAGCGCGTGTTATTGTCTGCACTTGGCTTCGAATCTTGATGCTGCATAATTCTAAAGCAGTTTTAAGCGTTGCTTCTCTGTGAAATGTAGTATATAAAGTGGAGGATCAAAAATGAGTGGAAGTGGGAGTACGCCAACAAAGCCTATGCCTGCTCCTCAAAGGGGGAGTAAGCCGAAAGAGCCGAACGCTTCGGATAAATTGCAGAATTTCAAAACACAGTTCGGCAATTTTATGAGTGGATGGATAAGCTCGGAAATTGTGTTTGTTGCGCCTACCAGAAAAGNTCAAAACACAGTTCGGCAATTTTATGAGTGGATGGATAAGCTCGGAAATTGTGTTTGTTGCGCCTACCAGAAAAGGAGAAACGTTACCAAAGTTGGCCGACCTACCGAAAACCGAACTTTTCGTTGTCCTCTAGGAAGGAGAATCTTTCTCCACAAGAGGTTGCTCTCCGTGCGGAACAAAGGTTAGAAACTGCGCTGTGATGCTATCCCAAATTAGAGAAAAACTGAACACACCAACTGACAATGAACAATTATTACGATTGAGAGGAATGGGTAAATCCCTTCGCTCCAATCCACGTCTTCGTGATTTGGCTCCGTAAATCACTATCCGTGAGAATTTAAACATCCTGCTAAAAACGCTAACGAGCTGGGCCCAGCGTGACAAAACCTTGCAGGAAAAAGTCACATTCATGGACGCGAAGAAAATGGCTTAGAATTATTCAAATCCAAGAGGCACTTTGGAGAAATTAAACAACCTAAAACCCTTAATAAGCCGCAATGAAGAACTTTACATTTCTAAAGAGACCAAAAACGAAAATGCTCGTGCATCAGAGGGCAAATCGTGCCGACCAGAGAAAATCAATATGCGTGTCAAGACCTCTCAGTATGAAATATATTTAATAAGCGGCTAAAATTCACATTTGCTCAGTCAAAACGTTTTCCTCCAAAACGTAATCTACCCGACAAAGAAAACAAGGCTGTTGGTAGGACACTGAAAACATCCTTTCCCCTGAGCAGCAACTCCAAAGCTCCCCTCTGCTCCGATTTTAAAACAAATCCTGAACTTTCTGTAAACGGTCAAAATCATATTTAGGTAGACCAAATAGAAGTGCGTTACAGTAATCAAGGTGCGAAGATACAAAGACATGGATCAGTGTCTTTGTGGATTGCACGGTAAGGAATTTTCTGATCTGTCTTATGTTGTATAGCCCGCGAAACGCCTTGCTACAAATCTTGCCTATGTGAACATCCATTCGCATATGAGCATTGAACCAGGACCCAAGGTTCCGGACGCTTTCTAAGGGTTTAATGACGGTGTCACCAATGATAATAGATTCAATAGATGTTTTTTCAAGTTGTTGACGAGTGCTAATGATTGGGAAGTCAGTTTTCGCGCCATTGATCATTAAAAGATTTCCAATAAACCAAGAGCGAACATCAGCGATGCACTTTTCAATCACACAGACAGCGTTAATTTCCGAATGGATAGAACAAGGTCGGAAGGAGAGGTAAATCTGGGTGTCATCAGCATAACCATGGACAGAAGGGAGGTACTGAGAAATAATGTTAAAGAGGCGGGAGACGTACAGAGTAAATAAAATAGGCCCCAAACAACTGCCCTGTGGGACTCCACAGTTCAGATTGAAGTCGTCAGAAAACGCTATTAAGAACTCTACAAGAAACGCTAAAAGAACTCTATAGTTGACCTACCGCTACCTACAGACGACATTATGGACCTACTCAACCTCTGTTTGACTTCCACGTACTTTCGGTACAACGGCAAACACTAAAAACAGTTACACGGAACAGCTATGGGCTCTCCAGTTTCTGTTGTTCTAGCAGAAATTCTCATGCAAAACATCGAGAACATGCCCTAGCTACCTATACGCGAACTATACCTCTTTGGTTACGTTACGTTGATGAAACATTCACTGCCGTACACAAAGACGGAATTAACGATATTTACGAACACCTTAACAGACAGAACGCGGACATGCATACAGTTCACCAAGGAGATCGAAGAAAATGGTAAGATACCTTTTCTAGACTGCTTGATCACTCGCGACACAACAAACTACAAACGGCTATTTACAGAAAACCGGCACATACCGACCAATTACTAGACCAGCCTTCGTACAACCCGACCTCTCACAAGGCTACTACTATCCGGACTTTGACGAGACGAGCGCAACTAGTTTGCCACTCACTTGATAGCCTACAAGACGTGACTGATTATCTTAAGAACCTTTTTAGTAAGAACAATTACAACTCGGACTTTGTTAGACGGAAGACTCACAGTAACACTGATTCCAACACTCAGACCAACGTCAACACTGGCCCTGTTACGAAAGCGACTATACCGTACATCAGAGGCACCTCCTCTGAAACTATAGCACGTATATTACAACCTTACAATATACGTGTTGCACACAAACCGATAACATCTTTACCACGACTGCTTACTAATGTCAAGGACAAAGACAGACCGGAGGACAGACAGCGAGCAGTATACAAGATCAAATGCTGTGAACTGCCAGGCTACTTACATTGGTAGAACCGGCAGAAACCTTAGTACGCTACTGACCGAACACAAACGAGCGACGAGAAATGGCCGACGTCGACAATCACATTGCTGAACACCGTCTACAGACGAAACATGAAATTGACTGGGACTCTGCGACATATTGTGTTACGTATTCTACAGACTACTATCAACGACTTAGTTTAGAAAGTTGGTTTACTAACTTAGAACAAACGCCACTGAATCGTAGCCAATTGCAACAGTTACCAGCACAGTACAAACGACTTATTGACGAGATCAAGCAAAACTAACTACGTGAGAACGACTGGAAAACTGAACTGAACTTGACTCTTTAACTGTGACAATAGACGGATCGAAACGCACAAATTACTGATTACGAGTCTTCATAGTCAATAACATCACGGTTTAACTAACAGACGACCAATAACATCGCAACGTAATTGACCAATCAGATCAATAACCACAGTGTAATACCACCAACTGACGTGATACAACTCACTTTGACAACGAAGGCAGCGAAAGCATGACTTAAAAATAAGAAGTAAATTCGTGCTGCTTCAAACATGGTTGCTCCTATTTCACCTTGTGCAATTGGTCAAATGTTGGTGAGCTTTTCTCTAGTTGAAATCTTAAGGACAGTAACTAAGTTCAGACAAATAAATCCTTTTCTTGTGCCATTCATAAAACATGAAATAATTTCACATGGTAGTCATGCAGTGATGGCAATGAAAAAGTGAGAAACATGTGTAAACTTGTTGTTTTGCTAATCTTAACCTACACTGCCTTTTCACCATTCTTGCTGTAGCTCGCATAGGTACATATATGAGGGTCCTGTTTTCACCTGCCCTTTTGGAGATTTACGATCGTTATACTGTTGTTTTAACCGACATTCATGATGCTTGTGAACATAAAAATAGAAGTTATAGTTCATACAACAAAACATTAAGAAGAAGAAGAAGAAGAAGAAGAAGAAGAAGAAGTAGAAATCGAAGATGCTTCTAGTCTACAATCGCACCGTACCCAAAATTGTTCGATGAAGATAACACCAAGTGCCGTTATGCACCCAGGGGAGGGGGGTATACCGGATTTGAAGAGACAGGGATGATCGATGGGGGGGGGGGAGGTGGGGGGGTGGGTTAAAAATCCCTAGGGCTTCAAACAAAACCCAAAAAAATCCCTGGACCACAATTTAACCCCCCAAAAATCCCATACCGAATTTCCCAGCCATACAAAATTTCCGCAGGAACTACACGGCCGGGATACGCGGGAACTATCACGAATCTTCAGATTGGTATGCATAACCTAAAAAATCTCTGCTCAAATTAAGCTACCCAAAAAAATACTTGCCTAAATTCTCCTACCCCAAAACATCCCGAAATCGAAAATTTCAAATCCCAAAAAACCCTTCGATCATCCCTGCCATCCCTGTAATCCGGGCTACCCCTCCCCTAGCTCCCTAGCGCGCAATTTAACCCCCCAAAAAATCCCGTGCCGAATTTCAGAGCCATATAAATTTCCGGAGGAACTACGCGGCTGGGAAACGTGGCAACTATCACGAATCTTCAGATTGGTTTGAATACCCCTAAAAGTCCTTACTTAAATCAAGCTACCCACAAAGATCCCGAAATCGAAATTTCAAATAAGAACTCGAATGTACGAGACTATGTTACTCGTGATAGTACTGATAAGTACTCCCTAGAGTGTTCCATTTTAAGGGTATTTAAAGCTACTTTTGGCTACACTGAAAAAAAGTTTCCGGAAGATCCGGGTAAAAAGTAAATGGAACACAGCTTTTCTTGCCGTCCCAATGGAAAATTTCCGGGAGCAACAATGGAACATCTAAAAAGGCAGTCCTGTTTTTCCGCCGGACGGAATGTTCCAAACGGAAATTCGTGTTAAACTTGTTAAAACCCATCTTTGATATCAGTTTCAGGCTTTTACACCGTTTTATAATTTTCTTTTGAAAGAACTGATTTGTGCAAATGGTAAACACGATTGGGCAAGAAAAATTACCAGTCCTGAATTTCTCTCACCACTCGCTCAAACCAACCGACTTCTTGAACATAATAATGAGCACAATAATACTGTTACTCATTACTTTTTCACATAGGTTCGTGTTCCACTGGTTTGTATCCTTGTGTTCCTGGTATGCTAGTCATGTAGGCTACCCATGAGGACTCGTATGTACGTTTTTGCTTGCGCGTACAGTTTAGTTTTAATTAATCATAAACAGAAACGTCTTTGGTAACTTCGCAAAGGAGAAAGCAATATACAATAGAGCCGAGATACAAGCGATTTCCGAAAATGTTTTCCCGGTTTGCAATTATTGTCCCTCGGACACTCAATGGATCATCATAAGTAAAAACAATATGCAAATAATCCAGTTTAAGCGACTTTGTGTTTAGAGATTAAAATCTAAACACTGCAGCTAATTTTGCATTTTCAGAGTATGACTTTTTTGCCAGGATATCAGTCATACTAATCTTTATTATAAGAATATCGAGGCTAAAATCTGCGAACTTTGAAGAATATTATATGAGTAAACGCGAGGCTGAGATTTTCAATAGGATATAATTTTGTCTTGAAAAAAATCTGTTTATGAAGTACAATTTGTATTTTTTTTAACTTAACTGATATTATTATTCCTTTCTCCAGACCGGAAAACTAATAAGTAAACTAAAAAAATGCACTGACTAAAGCCAAATAACAGTTCGATGAACGGTACATTGATACCCATGCAAACACATCAGGGGCACTCAACGTCAATTTTCGGAAAATATCTGTTCGGCAGACAATTTGAGATCTATAATTTTCGGAACATTTGTTTTAAAATTTCTTGCTTGCCTGTATCTCCTAGGATTTTCGAACGTCTAAAAAATGGTATAATTGCCCATTTTTAACGGATTTTTACCCTGAAAAGGTCACCTAGAATTTTCGGGAGCCTTATTTCTGGCTGTAATTTTCGAAAAGGTAAGTTTTGATCCCTATAATTTTCGGATTACTAGACTTTCAGCTAGGAAATCCGAACAGATGAAAAATTTTTAGGAGATCAAAATACGCCTATATCTACCGTTTTAATACTAAAATACGTTTAAAATGCTGTGTTTAAGTGGTTTTGAACTATATTCTCGTTGGGTGCCCCTGACACATGCTAAAACGGAATAACAGCTAACCAGCTTCAACTTAAGAATGATACAAAAATAAATTCAGCCTTAAATCGGCAGAAAAATAAGAATATTCGGCCTGCGCCAGAAAAACAACATTCTGATAAAAAAGAAAGAGTTTACATAAATAAATCGGCTGTTAAGGTCTGTTCGTGTAGTACTGCTACAGTGTGACTGTGTATGTCAGCCGTTCAGTTAAAACCTGTACCTGAGAAGGAGTTACCTGTATGTAATCATATGTAGCTGTGTACATACTTATGATATTCATGATACTCGATATACTTAGCACTCGTGTAGTGTTTCAGTCTTGCTCATTAGTAACAAAAAATAATACAACAATTTAAACTTACAGATCCCTTAACTTAGGGAGATTCGAAAACGCTCTAGGCAAAAGCTGTGCAATTTCGCTGTAGTAAAGTTTCCTGCAAAATAAGTTATTTAAGGCATTTACGATGATACTTGACCGGTAGTACATCAACTGTAAATAGTGTTGAATTTCAGCTTTTCTTTTGCAGACTCGCCTGAATTTCTCGTGCATGTACTTTGCATTCTCCAAGCTTTTGCTCGAAACATTTAGTAAAATGGGACAAGGTTAAACAGCTGAAATATATCGATTAAAAACCGAAGACCTTATTTCGTAGTAAGTCACTTCGTTGTTCGCTTAGTTTTTTTTTAACTTTGCGAAGAAGAAAGCAAGGTAATATACAGTCAGGCTGATAGAGAGATTTTTCCCGTTTACAACTGTTGTCCCTCGGACACTCAACGTATCATCATAAGGGAAAACGATATGCAAATACAGCTAAATTCTGCAAGTTCATGACATTTTTCCCTGTTTATGAGTTATATTATTCATAAAAACGACAGTAAACGCCTGTTCTATGGTACCGCTACAGTGTGAATGTATCCTTGTGTTCTTTTAATTCTAGCGTTATGTCACCCGTTAAGTAAGAACTTGTATGAGACTATTTTACTGGTGAGTATTCACATGTAGCCGTGTGCAGACTTAGAATTATATATGTAATACTCGTATTCTTAGTAATCCTGTAGAGTTTTATTCTTTTTATAAACAACAGAAATTCAAACTTACAGTTCCTCTAGCTCAGGAAGATTTGAGAACGCCCCAGGCGAAAGCTGTGCAATTTTGTTGTTGTATAGGGATCTGCAAAAATAATTAATTTTAATGTACTTCATGAGAACAATAATTTATAGCGGAGCTCCTCGCGCGCGCGAAGCGCGCGCAGAGCGGAGCACCATGGGTAAGAAAATTTGGTAAACTATCCATCTGAGAAAATTTGGTTATGACGTAGCGTACGCCCGCCCGCCCGCCCACCCGTACACACGCTTCATGTAAGCCGATGTCAAATGTCACAATAGATCTTGCACAACTAGAATAGCCTCTTAGTTATGTACGCTATCCGTATGAGTACGATTAGATTGACAGCTGTCAAAATTAGGCATCCGCTGACAATTATCACATGACTATCTCGCGGGCTCAGGTGAAAGACCAGTCGTTTTGCCCCTTCATATGAGCTGATATAATATGTCACACTTACCAATTCAAGATATATTGGCAAGCCAAATTAAGGTCAATTGACAGCTGTCAAAATGGGACATGTGCAGACCACTATCAGAAAACTAATAACGTGGGCTCAGGTTCGCTCAGGTACACGATATGGCATTTTCCACTACATGCCGGAAGGATACGTCTTACTCACACTCGTAGTCTGTTAATTCGAATATTCGCCATTCTAATGAAGGTTAATTGACAGCTGTCAAACTAGAGTATACGCTGGCCATCATCACCTGAGTGTATCGCGGGCTCATTTGTCTATCTATTGAGGTTACGTAGTGTTTAAAGTTTTGCGCTGATATTTTATTTGATCACGGGCTCAATTCGAAGTCCCATAGCTTAGAAAATCGATCCATCTTAGAAAATTCGGCAATCACGTGACCGTACACCGACCACCCGACCTTCCGTCCGTCCGCACCACAGGTATACCAATGTTTAATCTCATACTTTCTAGCTAGTTTGGGAGCCTGCAACCTGATATTGTACATCCATGTTTTGATTAATTGACAGCTGTCAAAATAGTGTTTCTGCTGACCAGTATCGCCTGACCCTATCGCGGGCTCAGGTATCGACCCACTGAGTTCGAGTGTTTTTTTAACGTATCCGCTGACAGGTTGCTACTTTTCAATTATCGCAGGCTCAAGTTCAATTTTTTTAAAAAGCATATGAAATAAGTCGAGTTCATGAGCCGCACTTTTAAAATGTTGATTTCGAACTGACCTCGGACGCGAAAATTCAACCGGCTTTTACATTTACATGCGGGGAAGGCAATCACTTTTGACTTTTCTCACTGTCACGCGTTGATCACGCTCTACGTCCAATTTTTATGTTCTGATTGGTCAAAATTTGACAGGTGAGTTCATGCGGAAAATTTATGCAGCGTCTGGAAACTTGCTTACTGATAGCTGGAGCTTACAGAGTTTTGTGTCATCTTGTGATGTTTTAAACTGGCTTTTTCTACTTGGTGTACAAAATGAAATACAGCTGCTATCAAGATTGTTCTGTAATTCGTGGCTGGTTTGTTTATTGCGCTTTTTGTTGACAAATGCACCGCTTGTCAAAGTCATTGGAAATCCGATTTCGGATGGCATCGTTTTCAAAAATGAGCTTACTCACTTGCCCTTGCTTGAGGCGTAAGAGGGTTGAAAATTCTGGAACACTTGATGACCTTCAGAAGCAGCATCTCTTTGATGTGTTTTTTTTTTCGGTTTCCTGAAGTCGAGCGTATTGTTTATGCGGCTTAAGTTTATACACGAGCAATGATCTAACCTACAATAGTATGAGGTTTAAAAAGCCTTTAGACATTTTTTTGACCGCAAATTCAAAGAAAATGTTCCGAAGATTATTTAGTTATGATTTTGGCTGTAAACAGAAAGCTCTGAGCGATTTTCTTGCCTCGAGTTCATCTTGAAAAAGAGCAAACACCAGGAAGCCGGCTTAAAACATAAATAAGCTTATTACGTACCTGACTCATGATTTTCAAAGACACTTTACTCTCAATACTTCTCTTCGTGAAGAAAATTATTGTCTCTGTACATGTTTCACCGAATTATATTTATTTTATTGATTGTTAGTAGTCCCTCTCGCAATTTTTATCGCTGCACCGGTTGTATCCAGTCGAACATAAACATCTCATGCAGGAATACTCAAAACGCCGCGCGTAAATATCACTCGCTTTTAAAGATTACACATAACAAAACCATACGCAGTTTGATAAATAAAGGGAAATAAAACCTAAACATAACAATTTATCTATCATGTTGAAGCGTAAATGGTAACTCTATTAATCGCACTGCAAGTTTGGTGCCTGTCAAAAGTGAGCCCCGTCCGGCTGGCCGAAAAGTGATTTTGGGAATTTTTTTATCGTTTTCATTAAAAACCCATATTACCCTGCATATCACATAGGACCAGATTTTTCTAACTGAAAGTCCTGGCATTATAGAATTCTCTTCATGAAAACGTTTTATAATTCAATGCCATAATTTGTTGTGCAAAGGAAGCGCGTGCTTTGATCGTCGTGGATATTGAATGAGTGCAAATTCTCTTGCGAAATTGTGAAAAAAATGCAGAATTATAGGTTTAAATAGGGCAAAAAAGAACAAATTCTGTCCGAGGTCTGTATGATAAAAACAAGGGCCTCAATAGTACTGTTTACCTGGGACGTGATGAGAAAAAGTATGTTTAAAAGGCTGGTTTACACGCCACCAGATTCGTCGCCAAGATTTACTAGTAAACTAAACTTGTCGAACACAAAAAATCCGGCCTGATTTTTTATTTTGGCCTCTCTTTTAGACAGAGGAATGCAACGTGTAAATTGGCTGCCACCAAGGACTATCGTGGCGCGTGTGTTTCTTAAAATTATATTTCGGGGTTGTCCAGTTATCCATAGTCTCTCAGACGGAGCAATGTTGGAGAGAGTGGTGAATGCAACATTATGATGCAACAGCTAATGCATATACAACACACGAATAGGTAGGTCTATTTGTTTTCCAGGCCTAATCTACTGTGATCGAACATGATTGCTATTTTTGGGTGTACAAATAAGACTATTTAATAACTCGATGTAAAAGCTGTTTCACTCTAGGACTGTCAAATTATTTTTCTCTAAAATCACTTAGCCTTTCAGCCTCAAACGTCAAATGAATGTGCCCTGATCTGTGGATTACAAGTTTATTGTTTGATTTAAATTATGAATTTATAAACGGGAGCTTCGCTTTTAGCCCTGGCTAAATCTATATATTATGCTCATATATAGATTTAGCCAGGTCTAAAAGCGAAGCTCCTATTAACTGGAATTTATAATTTAAATCAAACAATAAACTTGTATTCCACAAATCAGTTAACTTTAGAGCACATTCATGTGACTTTTGAGGGAAAGGCTAAGTGATTTTAGAGAAAAATAATTTGCAAACAGTCCAAGCTAAGAGTGAACTTAATCTTAAATCGAGTTGATTGTAATGTATCGATGGTATTGTCTACCGGAAGTTGAGTTAGCGGAAGTTTTCGGATACTGTAAACGTGTAAAGGATCATGGATATTTGTGTGGGCCATGCTTTCCGGGTGTCATAACGGCCGAATAAAGTGTAGTTTCTTTCATAGTTAAATCTGATTTATTACACGGCCATCCGGGCGTCATTGTTACATTGGCGACGAGGATTCAATTCGTTTTGTGAGGTAGTGGATGTTTTGGAAGTCATTTGTGCGAAAAGTCCTAGTATTTTGTCAGGAAGATGACGGACAGTGGAACCACTTCGAGTAAAACTTCAAGTTCTCAAGCTTCGCCAACCGCGACGTTTGTTCCTCTTCTTGATGCGGCCAGCTGTCCTCCCTTCAATCCAAAGGAAGATCCGAACACCCTTGCAGTTCGCTGGAAGTTGTGGAAACGCTCGCTCAATCTGTATTTGGTGGCAAAAGGGATTACGAAAGATGAACAGAAAACCGCATTGCTGTTACATACTGGAGGGTTGAAGTTTCAGGAGCTTTATTACACGTTATTGGCCGGTACGGATATCAAGCCGTTCGCTGAGAGTATGGAGTTGTAGGATAACTATTTGGCACCGCAGTTGAACGTTCCATTCGAAAGGCATCAGTTAGGCAAATGGAGCAAGCGTCAGGAGGGTCGGTGGATCAGTTTGTTTGTCGGTTGAGGCAGAAAGCGATCTTCTGCGAGTTTGAAAATGTTGATGAGGCAATAAGCGATCAGCTTATTGAGAGATGCCGGGATCCCAGACTTCGCTGTAAGTTCCTTGAGAAAACAAATGCTACTCTGAAGGATTTACAAGATTTGGCCCGTGTGCAGGAAGCAGTGAACATGCAGGTCAAGGCTATGAATCAGTCATCCGGTCAGGTGAATGCTGTTTCCGGCAAACCTCACAGCAAAGGAAAAGGAAAAGGAAAAGGGACAGCGCAGGGTAGAAACAGAGGAAATAAGCCTGGTAAACCGTCTGGTGGTTCTCAGGAGACAAAAGTGAGAGGCTGTTTTCGCTGTAATTACACTGACCATATGGCACGTGACCCGAATTGTCCTGCCCGTAGCAAGAAATGTAATGCATGCGGCGAGATTGGACATTTTGCAGTCTGTCGCAAAACAAAGGAACGCAAACCTCTTACAAGAGATGACGAGGGAAGGAATAATACACGGGGTAGAGCCTATCAACTATCAGAGGATGCAGCCACCGGCCAACAAGACTATTATGCATTTACAGTTGGAGTCGGTCAGCCTGCAAATGGTAGTGAAGTTGATTTGAAGGTTGGAGGAGTGACGTTACCAGCGGTACTTATTGATTCTGGAGCGTCGTAGAATGTGATTGACCAAGCAATCTGGGAAGTTTTGAAGAAGAAGAGTGTCCAGTGTGAGTCCAAGAAATCAAGGAAAAAGTTGTTTGCTTATGGACGGAAAGATCCTATTGAGGTGATTGGGACTTTTGTGCCTGAGATTGTGTGCGAGATCAGTGGCAACAGTTGTGTGGACGAATTCACAGTGGTTAAAGGTCCAGGAAGATCTCTACTCAGAAAGAACACTGCGGAGAAGTTGGGCGTGTTAAGGGTCGGTCCAGTGTGTTCATTAACTGTTGAAGGAAGTGATGCCGACATCCGTGAGAAGTATAGAGAGGTTTTTACAGGAGTTGGGAAGTTGAAGGATTTTCAGCTAAAATTACATATAAAAGACGATGTCACGCAGGTTGCACAACCCGTACGGAGACTGCCATTTGGGTTAAGAGCCAAGGTTGACGAGAAGTTGGATGAGCTGTTAGCCAAAGACATCATCGAGGAGGTGTCAGACAACCCAACTGAGTGGGTGTCGCCTTTGGTTGTTGTCCCGAAGACAGACGGTGACGTTCGGATTTGCGTGGACATGCGCAGGGCGAATTCAGCAATAGAGAGGGAAAGACACCCCATCCCTACAATTGAGGAAGTCTTGTACGACCTTAATGGCTCAACTGTCTTCTCAAAGCTCGATCTCAAATGGGGCTTCCACCAGGTGGAATCTCGATGAAAGATCGCCCGGGATCACAACGTTTGTTACACACCGTGGTTTGTACAGGTACTAACGTTTGATGTTCGGGGTAACATCGGCGCCTAAAAAGTACCAGAAAATTGTGGCGGATGTTTTGCATGGTTTCGAGGGAGTGGCTAATTTGGCAGATGATTTGATTGTGCATAGTTGTGGCATAAAGGAACACGACAGGAATTTGCATGCCGTACTGACCCGATTGAAAGAGAAAGGACTAACCTTGAATGGGGACAAATGCCAGTTTCGTCTTCCCAAGCTTACATTCTTCGGTCATGATCTGAGCAGGNCTATCAGAGGATGCAGCCACCGGCCAACAAGACTATTATGCATTTACAGTTGGAGTCGGTCAGCCTGCAAATGGTAGTGAAGTTGATTTGAAGGTTGGAGGAGTGACGTTACCAGCGGTACTTATTGATTCTGGAGCGTCGTAGAATGTGATTGACCAAGCAATCTGGGAAGTTTTGAAGAAGAAGAGTGTCCAGTGTGAGTCCAAGAAATCAAGGAAAAAGTTGTTTGCTTATGGACGGAAAGATCCTATTGAGGTGATTGGGACTTTTGTGCCTGAGATTGTGTGCGAGATCAGTGGCAACAGTTGTGTGGACGAATTCACAGTGGTTAAAGGTCCAGGAAGATCTCTACTCAGAAAGAACACTGCGGAGAAGTTGGGCGTGTTAAGGGTCGGTCCAGTGTGTTCATTAACTGTTGAAGGAAGTGATGCCGACATCCGTGAGAAGTATAGAGAGGTTTTTACAGGAGTTGGGAAGTTGAAGGATTTTCAGCTAAAATTACATATAAAAGACGATGTCACGCCGGTTGCACAACCCGTACGGAGACTGCCATTTGGGTTAAGAGCCAAGGTTGACGAGAAGTTGGATGAGCTGTTAGCCAAAGACATCATCGAGGAGGTGTCAGACAACCCAACTGAGTGGGTGTCGCCTTTGGTTGTTGTCCCGAAGACAGACGGTGACGTTCGGATTTGCGTGGACATGCGCAGGGCGAATTCAGCAATAGAGAGGGAAAGACACCCCATCCCTACAATTGAGGAAGTCTTGTACGACCTTAATGGCTCAACTGTCTTCTCAAAGCTCGATCTCAAATGGGGCTTCCACCAGGTGGAATCTCGATGAAAGATCGCCCGGGATCACAACGTTTGTTACACACCGTGGTTTGTACAGGTACTAACGTTTGATGTTCGGGGTAACATCGGCGCCTAAAAAGTACCAGAAAATTGTGGCGGATGTTTTGCATGGTTTCGAGGGAGTGGCTAATTTGGCAGATGATTTGATTGTGCATAGTTGTGGCATAAAGGAACACGACAGGAATTTGCATGCCGTACTGACCCGATTGAAAGAGAAAGGACTAACCTTGAATGGGGACAAATGCCAGTTTCGTCTTCCCAAAATTACATTCTTCGGTCATGATCTGAGCAGGCAAGGTGCTGCGCCGAGTGAGGAGACAGTAGCTGCCATCTTGAATGCAAGCCCTCCACAAGATGCTTCACAGGTCAGATCATTTGTTCAGCTTGTACCGTATTCTGCAAGTTTCTTCCCAACTTCGCGCCAAAAGCAGCACCACTCAGAAGCCTCCTGAGGAAGAGTGAGCCTTTCATCTGGGGTGAAGCACAGGAAAGGTCATTCCAGAAGTTGAAACAGCTAGTGGCACAGGCCACTACGCTTGCATATTTCAGAGGAGACTGTAACACGCGCCTTATTGCCGATGCAGGTCCACAGGGTTTAGGTGCAGTGCTGACTCAACTTCAAAACGGCGAGTGGCGAGCAATCTCGTACGCGTCCAGAAACCTCACTGAAGTGGAGCGGAGATACAGCCAGACCGAGAAAGAGGCCCTTGCCCTAGTATGGGCTTGTGAGAGGTTCAACATTTATGTGTACGGGCGCAAATTTGAACTTGGAACTGATCACAAGCCACTCGAGTGTATTTTTAGCAGCTTTCACAACCATCAGCACGTATCGAACGTTGGGTTCTAAGGTTGCAGGGGTATGACTGCAGAGTTGTTTATCGGCCTGGCAAAGCGAATATCTCAGACTCCCTCTCACGACTCAATCAATGTAACCCTAAAGAAACAAGTGGGGAGGAATTTGACTTTGTCAAGGCAGTCGCTGAGGAAAGCTTACCTGTTGCCCTGACAGCGAAACAAGTCGAATTGGTTTCTGATAGTGACCCAGAAATTGCCAGCCTGAGACAGTACATTTTAAGTGGTGACTGGTCTCAATGTAGGATNAATCTCGTACGCGTCCAGAAACCTCACTGAAGTGGAGCGGAGATACAGCCAGACCGAGAAAGAGGCCCTTGCCCTAGTATGGGCTTGTGAGAGGTTCAACATTTATGTGTACGGGCGCAAATTTGAACTTGGAACTGATCACAAGCCACTCGAGTGTATTTTTAGCAGCTTTCACAACCATCAGCACGTATCGAACGTTGGGTTCTAAGGTTGCAGGGGTATGACTGCAGAGTTGTTTATCGGCCTGGCAAAGCGAATATCTCAGACTCCCTCTCACGACTCAATCAATGTAACCCTAAAGAAACAAGTGGGGAGGAATTTGACTTTGTCAAGGCAGTCGCTGAGGAAAGCTTACCTGTTGCCCTGACAGCGAAACAAGTCGAATTGGTTTCTGATAGTGACCCAGAAATTGCCAGCCTGAGACAGTACATTTTAAGTGGTGACTGGTCTCAATGTAGGATGACAGCTTATGTGTGTGTCAAGGATGAATTGTGTGTGTCAGGCAAACTTGTTTTGCGCGGTACGAGAATTGTTGTTCCGAAGGCTTTACGGGGAGAAGGCACGTTTAAGGACAAAGGTTTGGTGGCCAAAGATTGACTCGGACGCAGAGCAGGTGTGTAAGTCTTGTCATGGCGGCAAGTCGTAGGTGAGTTCCAGGTTCCTGAGCCTATGAATAGAGTAAAACCGCCTACTGGACCCTGGCAAGACATAGCCATAGACCTGATGGGTCCTCTTCCCACTGGAGAGAGTTTGCTCGTAGTCGTAGACTATTACAGTGGATTCTACGAGGTAGCAATCATGTGCTCAACAGCAGCTAAGAGAGTGGTGGGTGTACTGACACAGATATTCTCCAGATATGGATTTCCATTTACACTCAAGTCTGACAATGGTCCTCAGTTTTGCTGTGCGGAGTTTGAGAAGTTTCTCTCTGACCACGGAATCGAACACTTGCCTTCCCCACCGCTCTGGCCGCAGGCCAATGGACATGTTGAAAGACAGAACAGAACTCTGCTTAAGACTTTGAAAGTTGCGCACGCTGAGGGAAAAAACTGGCGTGAAGAACTGCAGAAGTTTCTGCTAGCATATAGAACAACACCGCAAACAAACACTGGTGTTACTCCTGCGTTCCTTATGTTTGGCAGAGAGTTGAAAGCCAAACTTCCAGGGTTGAGGCGCACTGGTAACCTGTTGGACGAGGGGGTCAGAGATCGTGATTGGAATCACAAGTACACCCACAAGGAACATGCTGACAACAAGCGGGGTGCAGCCGAAAGCTCTGTAGTGCCTGGAGATCTGGTTTTACTGAAGAACACGAAAAAGTCTGGCAATTTGGAAGCAAATTTTGAGAGTGAGCCATACACAGTGCAGACTAAGGAAGGCAGTGAGGTGACTGTTAGGTCAAAAGGAGGGTGTGGAATACAGGCTGAACAGTTCATTTGTTAAGCGGTACAACCCACCAGCGGAATTCCCGGAAGCCACAGAGGCCGCTTCACAAGAAGCATCCAATACTCTTCCACTGGAGGAGAGTATAGCGACATCAAGACCAAGGCGGACTGTCAGAATGCCGGAGAAGTACAAGGACTATGTTCTTTATGAACTGAACTCTGTTGACACGTTGGAGTTATGTTGAAGTCTGTTCGATTTGGTTTCATGTTATTAGATTTATTGAACAGTCTTATTGAGATAACTCAATGCGAGAGAACAGTTTTCATACAGATTTATTTTTTCGCTGTTAAGTGCCTTATTGACTTTTTCTCGTAGTCGGTTTGTTTCTAAAAAAAGGAAGGGATGTAATGTATCGATAGTTTTGTCTACCGGAAGTTGTGTTAGCGGAAGTTCTCTGTAAACGTACAAAGGATCATGGGTATTTGTGTGAGCTATGTTTTCCGGATGTCATGGTGGCCGAATAAAGTGTAGTTTCTTTCATAGTTAAATCTGGTTTATTACGCGGCCATCCGGGCGTCATTGTTAAATTGATACTGTTGATAGCCTTATATGTACACCCAAAAAATAGCATAGCCATAATGGCTCTTGTTAACAGTAGATT